TGGAAATGCATCCCTCGCCATAAAAGACGATGTCGCTATAACTCCTATGAAAATGTTCAAAAAGTGCTCAAACTTCACATGTGTGCTAACAGTCCAGCCGTGAATACATCTACGGGACAGGTTTGAGATTTCTTCAAATGCCGTTGCCATGGCAACACAATGCTCACCATGAAACACAGTTTTCTCATAACTTCAGTGAAAATGCTCCAAACGGCCCAAAACTTCACAGGTTTGGTAACGATGCAGCCATCAACGCATGTAAGCGTATTATGGGATGTCATCAAATGCCGTTGGCATGGCGACAGATCATTCGCCATCAAGTTAGTTCAAAAGTTTGCAGTTCAAATATTCTGCTGCTTTTCCAAGCCTTTTTACTTTTTAATTTTATTTCAATCTAAATTCTTCACTTTCTTCTTACACATTACATTACAGCATAGCAGTTTAGCGTCAGCTTTTCAGCATAAAGCATTCCCACTAGCAATTTCTTCAGGAATTATATTCTCTAGTTCTGACTGTTGCCCAATATAATTAGAATTAAATAAGAATACAAGCAACCTCACTGTTTAATACATTTCGCACGGTTCTTTTATTTAAATTAATCATTCTTAAGAAACACATCTACATTTCCAGACAATCAGATGCTCACTGGCTATCCAGTATATGTATATTTTATGACCAACTAATTATTTGCAGTTGAACTCAACAATTTGTATATTAATCCTTACATTTAACAACCACTGTATACATCTAGTATATGTCCTATATTCATACAATATGACATACAAGAGTAGAGGGTCCCAATGAATCTAATTACCGTGCTATAATGTGGGGTTTTATTGTGAACATTTTCTCAAAATGTACCTTTTTCTCTGTGAAATCTTGGATTTTTTTCGGTCATTTTACAATGCTGTATGGTACAAAATACTGTAGTTCCCATAAGCCTCAGCAGCAATTTCCCGATTCCATGTCTAAAGAAATAATTTACAAAACCTTTATTCAGTTTCAACGTACAGTATACACACAGCAAAACTCAGTGGATTCGACTACTAACTGATGTTATCAAACTACGGTTTGATAACATCAGTTCAGTTTTTCTATGACCTCACTGTTCAAAGTTCAGGGTTAGTGTGCGTCAGTGTGTGTGTGTGTGTGTGTGTGTGTGTGTGTGTGTGTGTGTGTGTGTGTGTGTGTGTGTGTGTGTGTGTGTGTGTGTGTGTGTGTGTGTGTGTCAGCCCCAGAGGTATAATCTTTTCCCCTTGTATTCCCGCTGTGCTTCTCTCTCTCCCAGATCTTAGCCTGTACCCCCTACTGGGACAATGAGTTTGCGTGTGTCTGTGTGTGTGTCCTCCCAGTGTGTGCATGTGTCAGATACCCAGGAGACAAACACCCCATGGGAACTCTGACACACACATGCCTGAAGGCCCCCAGGAGAGTGAAAAAGCAGAAGACAAAGAGACGGATTAATCAAAGAGAAAATGTTGTTTAGAATAAAATCCACTCACCTTATGTCGATATTTTCACAAACCATTCAGGTTAAATGCTGTAGCTTTTGTTTGTATTAAAGTTTTATGAGTAGTACTGTAGAAGAAGAAAAAGTAGCAGGCTTTTCCGGAGAAACCAATAAAGGGAGACAGAAAAAAAGAGTGCCATGAAGAGAGAACAGATGAAGCGAAATTAACAATTTCTCAGAGCTAATTGGATTAATAAGAAAGCAAAATTAATGTGGGATGATCTGCTGTGTGAGTGTTCGTGTGTGCGTATCTATGTGCAGCAGTTGTTGGGCCTAAAGCGAAAATATAGAGAAAGAAATAAAGACAGATTTAGACGGACACAGAGAGGGAGAGGGAGATTTGGAGAAACGAGAAAGACAAAAAGAGGAGAAGAAGAAAGCAAGGGAAACGTTCCTCCTCTCTGTCCTGGTCTGAAACTAATTGGTCCAGGATTAAAGAAGATTATATATAAAAAAATTCAGAAAAATTATACAAAGCCCTCCACAGGTCTGGTTTCCATGGAGATAGTCCGCTGTGCAACAGTGCAACAGCAACAGGAAGAGAAAAGCTAAACCAGTTGCTGCTCTGATTACCAGAAAGACACCGTTTTAAACCAGTTTTAAACAAAACAGTGAAGCCCATTATCGCGCCATACAGGTAGTGAGCCAGTTTTCACAGCCTGTTTACACTAGGCAGAAACACTTTTTATTTTCATGGAAAAATTATGAAAGGAGTGTATCAACGTTTTTTTTAATCTGCTTGTCTGTTATGGGTCAAATAGAATACATTAAACATGTTATAATAGTGACATCCACATGATCAGAGAAACATTAGCTCTGCAGCACAACATTTCTTGCATTACATCTTGCGTTGACCTTGTGACTTTTTCCATTGAGATTAAGGGAAACGTTTTCAGGATCAGACATAGGATATAACTATTTTGACTGTTGACTGCAGCCTCAGACAGTATTTACAATAAATAAAGGATAAGTTTAGTTTTTTTAGAGGAAGTGCTGCCATCAAATGGAGTTTAATTGGTTGCATTAATCATTAAAACAGTCAGCAGTGGTTTCTTTTTCTCGAGCCACTGCACATGGCAGCAGACAACACACCAACAACCCCTTATGATATTGAATATAAGAAGTCTTTGGCATTTAAAAACTGTTTATGTCTTCATAACTATGTTGAAATGCAAAAAAGTGAGAGAGTAAGAAGAGGGCAGGAGAGAAAACAGAAAGCTCCTGAGGCGTCACGCAGTCTGAACAAGAAAACTTCTTCACAATGTTAAACTTCAATTACTCGCCGAGACATCTTCCTGTTTCAACATCCGACCGAACACCTGCTGTTAATTAAAAACAGGCTTCTACCTTTCAAAAAGCAGCTGATACTCTCTGATTATAGTTGCTGTATATGGATATCAGCTAAAACAGTCACAAGTGCTGCTGCAGGCTTCAGTATATTTCAGTGCTTGAACAAAGGCTTTACAACGTGTCAGCTGTTGTTTTTTCTCTGTGTGTCACGCTGCTAGTTTGTCTGTGAAATGCACTCGACTCTGCATCAGGAAGCTTTCCTCTCCGTCAGTCTTACAGGCTGGGAGACGAGCTGACAGATCAGTCTTCCCGTTCCATCATCGCCTCTGAAATATATTCTACCATCTTTAGGGTTTTGATCACAGACACGTACCTGTAGCATCTGCCAACTGACTTAGGAATCATGACATATTTCCTGTTTTATTCTATTTCATCAGTTTGGTGGAAAGGATTTGGTTTGTTGGGGTCTTCGTTACAGTGGCCTCAAGAGCTCAATACACCACATTTTCAAGTCCAGTAGGGGCAGTATGTTTTTATGAGTTTGTCCTGTTTTGTTGTGGCTAGTACATGTGCGAGAGGACAGGTGCCACATACTTGTTATTGCATTCCATGTTTATTAATCTTTGTTATATTATAATAACATTACCAAAAGATTACTGATTTCACCCGACACTCAAGCTCGTTATAGACTCCGTTTCCCAGTTATTCACACACACACACACATACACACACACACACACACACACACACACACACACACACACACACACACACACACACACACACACACCGGACACACACACACCGGACACACACACACACACACACACACACCGGACACACGCACACGCACACACACCTGGTATTTTCCTTCCCATGCTCAGCCAGATGTTATCATTGAGATTTTTATGTAAAATCAAGTGTGAGAAATGTTTTTAATTATCGAGCCACCTGGACAGGGTTGTTGCAAGCAGACACACACACACACACACACACACACACACACACACACACACACACACACACACACACACACACACACACACGCCCACACATTTATATATTTTGCATAAAATAGCATCACTCGCTATGATGCATTTTGATTGTCTTGGAATAATTCCCTGTAACCCTCAACTTTGTACATTTAAAAAAACATCTAGAGTTATTTGGCAAGAATACATGTTCTCACCCAATCTTGTTTTGTGACATCCAAAGGATAGAATTACACCAACACACACAAACACAAAACACACATTGACATGCACACACTCATTGTTTCAGGTAACAGATGTTGTCCTTCTTTTGATTAAAGTCAACAAATTAAGACATTGTACTCACTCACTGCTGCAGAAAAAACACATTATTCTATAATGGGCTGTGGGGGAATACTGCAGCTTGTTTATAATTTCAATGCGATCTTAATTATTATTCAAGGGCGGCAGCAGACATTCATTCATGGACTTTGATGATCTTCTTCAGACTGTTTTCCTATTGTTGATTGGAGTCATTGCTATTATGAGAGCTTTTAAAAATCATAGTTTTGCATCCAGCCATCACACATGGAGTGTTTCAGGCCACTGAGCCACAAAGAGCATCATGTTGTCAACCCCTCTCTCCGCTGGATGTGTTTCCCCTGGTCTATCCATCGTTCACAGTCTTGCTACACAGTGTGCTGTCTAAGACGAATACAAAACAATCAATTGCTTAATGCTGCATCAATGTTTGCACAGCAGCCTTGAATGTTCAAACTAAAATTGTGTGTGCACCTGTGGAACACATTTTAAGAAAAAGACAACTTGTTTTCTTTCAAGGTAATTACTCCAGGAAAATAAGAGAGTCCTTGGCAAGGGTGCATCGCAAAAGCTTTCGGAATAGTCTTGAGTCAAAATACCAAATCTAAATGCGAACAACTGATAAACTCTTTATAAAGGGGGCCTTCTTAAAAAGTAAGACCTTCACAAATGCTAATATAGAGTTAAAATAACTTCAAAAGAATAAAAGAAGACAAAGTAAAAAAGAAATTGCAGCAGTAGAATCAAGATGAATGGCAATAATTATAAACAAAGTGATAAAGTATGAATTATATAGTAATGGATAAAGAAATAAGACGTTAAAAATGTGTTATAGTCAATCAAACCATTGTTTATGAGATAGAGATATTTGCAGTGGATTAATGTAGAAAAATAAATCGTTGGCAAAGTATTTTAAAAACATTCTTTTTATTAAGACGTTAAGTGCTTAATAATGTTCAGCAGAGGTAATACAAATACACGCTACATGAAATAATCCACATACTGAAATCACGTGACTGTATTTGTTCTTCTTCCTTCTCATTTCTTAACCGAAAAAGTCCTTGAACTTCTGGAACCCACTTTTCTCTTGGCCATTGCAGAGTTTTGACTGACAGCAGTCGAATTCGAAGTCAGCGAGGGAATATCTGACGGCCAGAGTCATGAAGTCACAGTCTGCGTACCTCATACACGAGGTGTAGGTATTTTCTGAGAAGAGAGTGAGAGACACAGCATTAGTCCTTTGTGCATTACATTCATTGTAACAGATAACAAGAAGACGGACACACAGAGCAAAGCATTATCATACTCAAAATTGTTTGTGTGTCATTAGTTTTTGTCAGATCAAATGTGTACATTTTTGCCAATTTATGCCAGGAAATGAACAGCCAGATAATACATTTATAATGCCAGCTAAATATTAAGTATGTCCCAATACATAGTATGTCAAATTCAGCAGCATGCTCTTCTGCCCGTTCTAACACAATACTTGCACAGGGGTTATTGTAGCACAAGGGTCAAAGCTCAATGTGCAATATTTCCTAAAGTAGAATATCCCAGTGTTATGTACTGTATATTGCATGCACAAGCCTGACTTTGTTATGGCAGTTGCAGCACATATTATTGGAAATAAGGAAAAGTACACAGTTTGGAACGCAGCCCATGTGTTGGAGAATAACAACAAATAAACCTTGAACCTTTGTTCAACAGAAAAGAGGTGTATTTTGGTTTCTAATTCAAAAAATGTGTTTCCACACCGACCTGCATCATGACAGAAATATTGTGTTCTTTTATCATTCAAATCATAAATGTAACTTTTTACCATTGTTTCCTGAAAGTAATAATCTTGAAGATTTTCATTTATATAAATGTCTGACGATTGAGGTTACACAATGGTGAGTGAGAGCCTGCAACACTGATGTATAGACAACATTTTGTTACTGCTAATGCAAAAAAAAAAGGCATTTCCTACTGCTACATCTTTACATTTAAAGCATTCAACCAAGAAAATGCAACTTTAAATATGAAGTAGTCAAATAAATGCAAAATGACTTTCCATTCAGTTGAATTTTTGCCGGACTATTTTATGACAAAAGATTGTTTTGCTGCCTTCAGTATTTCATGACCTGTAGTTTTAATCTGTATTTTCCTGTTGTGTTTTCAAATCCACCAAATATTTAACAACACTTACCACCACTGGTGAGTTTGAGGCAGCTGTCCTGTCCCTGGTCACACTCCAGTTTGGCGGCACAGCTGTTGGAGGAGCCATCAGGGCAGGAGTAACACTGGATGGAGAGGCCTGGACAAGAGAGGGATCAAAAGATTCAGGATTTGTAAGTAAAGTCTCAGGTGGAACAGTCAGTGTTTTGTGAATGTGAACTCATCTCCCATGGTCATGTTCCTGAGATAAGTGTAATAAATGTTGAATCAAAATTATCACATAACTCTTGCCAAGAAAGCGAATAATAGCACATTTGACAAGATGTTAACTATCTCTTAATGTCAGATATTGGAGGTGCCAGCCAAAATGTAAGTAAATGATACTTCCTGCTAAAATTATAATAACAAAAAAAATTGTTTACTGTGACGTCTCAATAACAAAGCAAATAAATCCGGGACCTTTTATCCCTGAAAATAAAATGCTTCTGACATTTAGTTTTTCATACATTTCTAACCAACACGTAACAACACAATTGTGCACAAAGCAAACTGCTAACCTGAGACATCATGATAAATATTATGAATACATATTTCTCACTGACTCTGCATAGTGTGAAGCACATGATGCAAGAAGAGAACATGCAAACTGCACATTGATCTGCCAAAATATCCCCTCAGGCTGATGGTTTTATCTCTCTGACTTAGCCCCACTTGGCTGCGCTCTTCATGAGTAGGAAAAAGCATTTTAATGAAAGCAGTACTGATTCCTTCTACAACCTTTTTTTTTCTTACCAAATCCAAACATTGCAAAGCTGACAGCGAGGCAAAACACCACAGAGCTCCTCATCGTGACTGAAAACGCTGTCAAGTCTGGAAAAAAACAACAAAAAAGGGAAATATCACAATAGCGTCACAGCTGGATTAAGAGAAGGAAATAATTGTTGAAGTGAAAAAAGGATAATATTTGCAAAAAGTAAAAAAAAAAAAGTGAAATATGTCTTAAAATTACAAAGCAGGACAGATATAAACATTTTCTCCACTAATGTTAGCCTTGCAGTCAAAGAACACTTACCTCTAGATGTGAGGGAAATGACCTTCAGCTCATGGAGAAGAGGCTTTTGTAGCAGCATCGACAGGGTAAGTAAACAAAACATTTGTTTGGGTTCAAAGTCTATGTTTGGTTTTGATCCAGGCCTCAATAATAATGGCCAATAAAGTGCCCTGTTCGTATAAAACAGAGACATTTTAAATAGATTTAAGAAATCTTTGAATGTATTTTTCTTTAGAAATATCTACCTATAAGTTAATTCAATGTTTTTTATTTCAAAATGGACACAGGACTCACTAGAGGGTAAAGGACGTTTTTAATTAAATATTACACAATCATGGTTATTCAACTTGTGGAAAAATACAGAAATCTGCTCTTTAACCTATTAGGAAATAAAAGTGAGAAACAAGCAAAGAGTCAAGGGAGAAATGTAAGAAGAAAGCTTTAAAGAAGAAAGGAAAGAGAGGGAAAGTAAATGAACTGTCTTGATACTGTAGGTGAGAGTAGGAGGAACTGATGGAAAACAGAAAATAACGACATACATAAGGAAGAAATCAAACTAACTTTATGGGCCACCTTTCACAAGTTGCAGCATATCGTGATAGTTTGTTGCAGATTAATGTTGAATGGGATATGGTAACATGTTGATGCAGTTTATACAAATCCACTCTGCCTGAAATGTGGAGCTACATGCTGCGAGCTGAGAAACTGTAACTGCTGCAGGATTTGCCCTCAAAGTCACATATGTGTAATATTTCTGTCTATCAAAGATGGAGACGAGTCAGCACATTTCAGCTGAGATAGAGGCTTACATTAATCAGTGTAAACTTTACCAGGTAAAAGCTGTATCAAATTACATAAAATAACCGAAGGTATTAGAGTAGAAAGCATTATTAATCTAAGAGGCGTTGTTACTTTTCTAAACACTTGATATCTGCACTGTATATAGTCAAGGAACTGAGAGACCTACCTATAGTTGTTGGCAATAAGAAACATATAAAATAATGGCAACTTTATTGTAAAAAAACTCAAATCAGAGCAGAACTGAGAGTAATAGAAAGAAGTGCTCGTCATTTGAGAGTTTCTTTGTTAATTAGAACAATATGTACTTATATTTCACAAGACAGGTCAACAAATGTACAGAAAGAAATCTATTGTGCAGTGTTTTAACTGTTAACAATGAAAAGTGCCAGGAGAGCAGTTTTTTTATTAAGACATTTTCACTCCATAAAAGGACTCAACCTCCCACTGCTGTCGGCAGCGATACAGGTTTTATGTCAATAAACATTCAATCGGGACTGAAACTCTCCTCCGGGTGTTATGAGTTTTATAATCCTGAATTCACATTAAGTCTTATTTTTTCCTCCTCTCTTGCTGCACATCATTGTGCGTTTCAGAGCCCGCTGAAGGCTTGAAATCAGCGTTCAGACATACACACACACACACACACACACACACACACAAACACACTCACACACAATCTAATATACGGACAAGAAGCTTGAAATGAGAGTTCATGGTTCAGTTTGTCCACCTTTATGGACTTGCCGCTTCTTGAATCAGTTGAAGCGTTGGTGCTTATATAACAGTAGAGATTATGTCATTGTGAATAATAGATAAGATGATATTATAACCTGTAACAAGGTTTAACAGAATACAACCCTTAAAAGGGGGGCCTGACCTACAAGTGATAACAATCAATTCAAGAGAATAATTTCATGAGGGAATGCAGTCAGTGTCATGTTTAATTCAGAGGAGTTTGAAGAATAATCGTGAATCATTTTTCCCAGGGGGAAGCCCAACATTTTTTCAAAGCGGTTTAAATGTCGCCATCTGAAAGCAACGTGACTTTGCTTTGCCATTGGAGCTATTGAGGCTAATGACTGGCTGTCCTGCTGCTCATTACTTCTTGTCTGAGGCCGGGGCTAAAGGCTGGTGTAATGAGGCAAACCAGGGCTTTCATTTCTTTCTGCATGGTGTCGGCTAAAAGTGGATTTCTTCTTTGTGCCTCTGCAGGGCTCACACTCAGCCTACATAGATGTTTACTAAAAGCAAGACGGGATACTTGTTTATTTAAATGTTAGGAAAACTGTTGACACCCATTACTCGCTGTGGCATTATGTGATTACAATTGAGTTTTTCTTCAACACAAAATGTAGCGAAATCATGACATTTATTCAAAGCAAAAACTCTTTGGCCACCAAGATGTAAAGTTTTACAAGAGATCCTTAAAAGTATTAACAGCAAGTTACAGCCAAATCTACAGGACATGCTTCATAGCTGAATCTAACTCAAAAGATCTGGATCTGCTGCATGGATTTTGATTAACACATATTCATTAATCTGCAATTTCATATAAGAGTGAAGCTAATTCAATAGCGAATTAATTCAACGTTACGTTATAAATGTAAATAGTGTCACTTTGAGGACCTGTCTAGAAACAATTACTAAGCTGTAAATGAGCAATGGCTGTGCTGGGCATAAGTTTAGCTAACATACCAAATTCCTCTTAATAGTTTTCCATAAAGAGCAAAAGCAAAACATGTATTTTGGAAAACGTAATATTAAGTATTAAACATATTAGCACTGAATGCATAACACAACGTGTTTTCTTTACCAGAGGAATAGTTTGACACATTAGGAAATGATCGCATTTTTTTTCTTACCAAGAGTCCAATAGAAAGATTGATATGGATCTCATGTCTGCAGGTTACGTTAGCCTAGCTTAGCATAAATGTCATTGTGAAACAGCTAGCCTGGCTGGGAAAAAAATCTATACCTTGCCAAACATTGGCTAGTGGAGAAAAAAACTGAAAACTGGTGTTTTCTTCTTATTCTTTCTTCCCCCCCTTTACTTCATGTGCTGTTCCTCTCTTTAACTCTATTTTCATTCGCTGTCTTTTGTTTCATTTTTTTCTTTCAATCTCCCTCCATTCCTCTCTGTCATTCTCTCATTTCCCAGTCCACTGAGTTAAATATGGGAAAATCAAACCAATCAGGCCATGACATGGTTATTATTTTTAAGTACTGATTTTTCTAATTCCCCCTCTCTCTCTCTCTCTCTCTCTCTCTCTCTCTCTCTCTCTCTCTCTCTCTCTCTCTCTCTCTCTCTCTCTCTCTCTCTCTCTCTCTCTCTCTCTCTCTCTCCATCAATTTTTGTTCCTGTTCATCCCTTGCTCCACCTCTTTTTAAATCCCTCTCTCTTTCTCAATCAGTATTCTGTCCATCTGCAAGGAAGAAAAACTTCAACACCGTAAGATTTAAACCCATGCATTAATAAATAATTAACATTTGACCATTTGTGTGAGTGTGTGTGTGTGTTGTGTGTGTGTGTGTGTGTGTGTGTGTGTGTGGTGTGTGTGTGTGTGTGTGTGTGTGTGTGTGTGTGTGTGTGTGTGTGTGTGTGTGTGTGTGTGTGTGATTCTCAGGAAAAAGCCTACTTACCATGAATTTAGACACCAAATATACGCACTTTCACAAGTGTACTCCATAAGAAACCCTAAATGAAAAGAGCATCCTTCAAAACGACATGTATTATGCTAATCATGCTCCAACTGTGCAAAGGTACTCACCTCTTTCGGGGATTGAAACACACTTTAGAGCTCTCCCTGTTGAGCTCATTTAAAGCGAGCATGGGTATTTATAATGTTCAATATCTTTTGCTGAGATGTTGGACTGAATATTTGGCAAATGATGCAGAAGCACACATTTTTCCACCATTCAAAACAATGATAAGAACAATAGATTATTTAATAGCTCTCCGTACAAGTTATTAATATCTTTCTGCAGCCTATTCCAGCATCCTGTCATTTGTGTGATTAAGATTTTCTGCAAGAGATTCATTTTGCAAAAAAAAGAAATCTCTCAATACATTCCTAAGGTTATGTCATCTTTATACACCAGCATGTGAGACACCAAGAAAAGTAAGGACACATACTCTCAGACATTTGGATCCCAATGGGCCACAGTTTCCAACTTGCACGGTCATTTTCCGGACACTGACAATTAAGCAGTGTACCTACTCTTTAATTAGATATAGGAAGAAATAGTGTCCTCATTAAGGACGTTATTAACTCAATCAATGAACGCTAAAGAGCACCAAATTACCAATTAAACCTCACATATATGTACAGTACGTGAACTGATCATGTGTGTGTGTTTGAGAGGGGGAGTGTGTGTTTTGATTAGCTCATGGTCGGGCGTGTGAGGGTTAACACGGTAAATTAATAAATGCATGGAGGAGAGAGAGAAAAACGCCATAGGTAGCATAATTATCTGGAATGACCTGAGTGTCCATGCATGTAGGACATACCTCTCTCTCTCTCTCTCTCTCTCTCTCTCTCTCTCTCTCTCTCTCTCTCTCTCTCTCTCTCTCTCTCTCCAGTGAAATAAATGCATCTGGCTTTAGACCAAAGATTAATTTGAAGATTTACAGATCTGTGCTTATTGTTTGTTATTCAGACTGCTGGAAAAAAGAACACTACCTTCAACCTTACATATAAACTATGGCCGTATCTCGTAGCTCTAAATCCTACATCTAATTGACTCAATGGATTATAAACAGTGTACTTTATGAACTAAAAAGAGTGTGTCTTTGTGTGTGCATGCTTGAGTGTGTGTGTGGTTTACCAATATTTGGTATTTATTCCCAGAGTTCCAGGAAGCTCTGTTTGACTTTTTACACAACGGGAGGTCTTGCTTCAATCACATGCCCCCTATGTGTTTGTGTGTGTGTACAGTATGTGTGTGTGTGTGTGTGTGTGTGTGTGTGTGTGTGTGTGTGTATGTGTGTGTGTGTGTGTGTGTGTGTGTGTGTGTGTGTGTGTGTGTGTGTGTGTGTGTGTGTGTGTGTGTGTGTGTACAGATGTATGTGTGTGTCGTCCAGGGAACATACAACTGGATTAGCCGTCATGCTTTTATTTCGGTAATGGAAACATCAGCCTTAGAAAGAGGGCAGGCAGCGAGTGTTCAAGACAGTTGCAGTGTGTGTGTGTGTGTGTGTGTGTGTGTGTGTGTGTGTGTGTGTGTGTGTGTGTGTGTG